GTTTTTTTTTTTTTTTTTTTTTTTTGGTATTCACATTTTCTTCATGCAACTTTTTGTATTTCTCTGCCTATAATCTCTTCTGCCCCTCACTTCTGGCAGTGGAGAACGCTTGCTGCTCTAATGAACTGCATAACCTGCTTATATTTTCAGTAGCAACAAAGCAACGTAAATAGTATGCCTGTGTTCCTTTAAATAATACCACTTAAATGAGACAGAATCCAGTCCCTTGTGCAGATGTCAGACAAGCCAAAGTGGTGATGCAAATTTCAGTTTTTTCCTCTGTCTTAGGAAGAAATTAGTGAAGAAGCCACACTACAATGTGCTGGGGAGGGGGTGGGGAAAAGAGAATCAAATTTCCACAAACTTTCTTACTTTTTGTTGCTCAATTTTGTATTGATTAGGTGTTTGTTTGGGTGCTACACCTTCTTTTCTGGTTTCTAGCCTTTTTCAAAAGTTTAATATCCCAAAGATATATTGAATTGTAAATTCTTGTTAAGTTAGTGTCTCCATGGGCTAATGAGGGTCTAGCAATTTTTAGTCTGTCACCTTGCTGACATCACTGCTCATGATTTGCTTATAAAAGAGTTTGTGTTAAGAGGTCCAGTGAGGTGATTTCTAGTAACACAAGAGCCAACCAGTTATATTTATATAACCAACAATTATACTTACCCTCAAATTTTTAATATGCTAAAATTGTTCAATTTTTTCTGAAAACTTATATAATTAATATTATAGTTAGTGAATGTCTTTTTTCCTTTTTCCCCACTAATACGATCAAGTTCAGACCTTGGAAACAGGCTCTGCTAGCTTTGTTTCCCCAAACATATCTCTGTCTGTCCAGCCAAGGGATCGTCATTCTTCACCCATGCTCTCCTACGTTGCTGTACTCTTGATAAAATTTCATTGTTTTTCTGTGTGTGCACAGAAAGAACTCAGCCATCTCCTCCTCGTGGCCATTTCCAGGTTTTTGCTTCCGGGTCCCTTAAGGATCTTCATGCACGTATCTCTTAGAATCTATATGTAGGATTTTGTTTAAGACATGCCTATAAACAGAACTCATGGAATATTCAATTTGATAAATTTTATAGCAAATATTTTAAGAGGCACAAAACTGCTTTCTTCTCATATAGGATTTTGTTTAAGACATGCCTATAAACAGAACTCATGGAATATTCAATTTGATAAATTTCATAGCAAATATTTTAAGAGGCACAAAACTGCTTTCTTCTCATGTCATTATACTGCCTCTCTTTTAAATCTTTTTTTTCCTGTCCCACTAACATAGTTTAACTCTGGTGTTCAAGCATGAGTCTGTAATATAGTGCTTGCTAAACCATTTCCTCTTTCCTTCTAAGTTTGGAATATTAAGTGCCCTAGTACAATTATATTACTGCCTTTCATGTACAATGTCTGTTCCCATATGCCCATGACTCCCTGCCTTCCACTCTTGCCTTTCCTTTATCCTGGACTTTCCTCACATGGTATCTTGATCTGGATGGATTATACTACTTCCCAGCATACTGAGTTTGCTGGGAACACCCTAATTTCCACAGGATTCTCTCACCCCCCACACTACTCTCACTATGAAAGGCAAGGGCCTACTCATACAGTGGAAAATTTTTCAGGACACTGCCTAAATCTGTGTGTGCAGGTGGTGACGGATGATGAGTAACACTATTAGCAACCTGGCTCAGCTCTTGTATCTCCCTTGAAGTATTTCTTTCTATGCTCCTTGCAATTGCAGTGAACTATTCTTTTCTGTATTTCCCGAGTGTACAACATGATGTCTGATGCTACAGGGCAAGGATCAAATTTTGTTTCTCTCATTTACTTTCTCTATAAATTGGGTTAGATACATGAACACTGTGGCCTGCTGTTCTAATTTGAAAAATACTGATAATTTACTTCAA